CACTGCCTTTATAAAGGAACCATCACGGAGGACAGCAATCTGCACCAGTTATATTATAATACTAAGAGGTGGGTGGTAAAGAAAACAAAACAAACTATAACGGCCACAGTTTTTGCCACATGGGCTGAGGACCAGTGAAGATACTCAGTCATCAAAAAAAAAGTTACAAAACAATCCACTGGACTTTATTTCCAAGTTTGAAGATGTTTCGCTTCCCATCCAGGAAGCTTCTTCAATCAGGTGGATTGAGAGGGGCGAGAAGGAAGCCAACTATGTTAAGCGAGAAAAAAACAACCTTAAACAGAGGGGGTGGACTCCGCTATCATCGCAGCTCCAACCCCTTTACAGGAGAACAGAAGACCTCGCCTATTCAGCCAGACCAACAATTCCCTCTATTGACCCCCCTTTCAGAGACATAGACAGGTATGGGGCATTGCAGGCTAACAAAGAAGCCAAACGACCCCCATTCCAAAGGGGGGGACCCGTTCATCCGTTTCTATTTGCATGTTTTCTAAACTAAAACCAGGCTTTGTTGGGCTGCTGGATAAAACCTGGAACTAAACGCTAGCATTCGCCAACTAGTGTAAGGGCGAGAACACATTTCTTTTTACAGAAATACTTGAGGTAAGCGCAAAAAACGACTGTTGTTCTGGGCCCTAGCAAAGCTGTCAGCTGCCCTGCATGGCTGTTAACTTTTCACACATCCTTTCTGTTTGTGTATTCTTGTCGATACCTATATGCTTTAATTGACCTATTGGTTCCTGATCAAACACATCAGCTCCCCTTGGTGGAGCAAGGATCATTTATTTTCATTTCAGTTACTATTCAGTAATTTGAGGAAATACATCCTTTAGATTTATGGTTGGGATTCAGTCAACTGGATCCAAATATCCAAACACATTATTTTATAGTGTAATCATTCCAGTTTTAAACTAGATATCACCGTTTACAGTCTGTCTTATTGATTCCTGAGGTCATGTTTGTAGCAGTCGGTTCACCGTGTGTTTGCCGATTTAGTTTGGTGGTCCGACTCTCTGATTTAGTCTCTGTGGTGATAACAGGCATTAGAAAAGAGCAGGCCCTGTTTGCTCCTTGACTTACAGGAGGTTTTATGGTTCCATCAAGGCTGAGGCTTCTTTCCGGATTGTTAAATCTGTTGACGCAGTAAATTGACGATTCGAGCACCGCACAATCACTGAAGGTCAAGTTCAACAACCACCCAGGCTCACTGAAAAGGCACTTCTGGGAAAAGAAAGATTTTAAAATCATGATTACTTACAGCAGCACAATCTCACACTTAAGATTGTAGTTTCAGTTTTACTTAAAACACAAAGTGTTACTTTCCTACACCAGCGGTGTCCATGCCTGAACACCCAGCCTTCTCCTAAACACTGGCAGCTACAGATAGAGGAAGCTTTTTTTCTGTTCATGTATGCAGAGTCACTCTGGATGTTCAGAGTCCTGGTTACTTCTTTGGTCAGACTTAGCTTTATTGATTAATTGATCGATTGACTTTATTAATCTCACAGTAGAGAAATGTACTCGTTACATCAGTTAAAATAGTCAAAAAAGGTGAATGTGCCAAAGGAAGAAAAAGGTGCATGTGATATTTACGGTGTATACAGTACAACCACACAGTGGCAGCTGGTGGAGTTTACTCCAGGAGGGGCTATAAATTCAAAATAGATGTATACCAAAAACCAATTCAACGTATGCTAAGTTATCACACCAGTATATTTATACGAATGCCAACAACAAAAAATATTATAGAAATACTTTGTTAAAAAAAACAACATAATTTTATGTGCAGGGTTTGCTTGTTGTCCACAAATCTTGCTCTTCTGAGGCTTTGTGAAGGTAAATCTGTGTTCAATTTTATTATATATATATATATATATATATATATATATATATATATATATATATATATATATATATATATATATATATATATATATATATATATATTAACTATTTATTTTCTGAGAATGTGTTTATTTAAGAGCAACTATGCAAATGAACAAAGATCTAGAAAAAGTAGACTATATCTATATTCTATTATTTTCCATGTGAATCCTAAATTATTCATTCTTCTTTGCCTTTTCTAAAAAGTGCTTTAAATCAGTCCTAGCTGTCTTTATCCAGGCTGGGTCTGATCCTGATGTTTGAAAAAGGAGGCAGGGAAAGCAGGATAAAGCCTTAGCCTGGCTGCATGCAGTTAGCCTGGCTGCATGCAGTTAGCCTCACTGCATGCAGTTAGCCTCGCTGCAGGCAGTTAGCCTCGCTGCAGGCAGTTAGCCTCGCTGCATGCAGTTAGCCTCGCTGCAGGCAGTTAGCCTCGCTGCATGCAGTTAGCCTCGCTGCAGACAGTTAGCCTCACTGCATGCAGTTAGCCTCGCTGCATGCAGTTAGTCTCGCTGCATGCAGTTAGCCTCGCTGCAGACAGTTAGCCTCACTGCATGCAGTTAGCCTCGCTGCATGCAGTTAGCCTCGCTACATGCAGTTAGCCTTGCTGCATGCAGTTAGCCTCGCTGCAGACAGTTAGCCTCACTGCCTGCAGTTAGCCTCGCTGCAGACAGTTAGCCTCACTGCATGCAGTTAGCCTCGCTGCATGCAGTTAGCCTCGCTGCAGACAGTTAGCCTCACTGCACGCAGTTAGCCTCGCTACATGCAGTTAGCCTCGCTGCATGCAGTTAGCCTCGCTGCATGCAGTTAGCCTCGCTACATGCAGTTAGCCTAGCCTTCGAGCTAAACCAGGTAAAAGAATGTTTCTTGCACCATTTCTCTCTCTCCAATGCTGCACCCAGAGCTCTGCTATCCTCATGTATTGCAGAGGAGCTGCTGCTAATGGACAACTTTTAACCAGAGTCAATATGCAAAGATTTTTGTGCCCAAGGGCAAAAATACGTCCCCAATCTGACAAAAAATGGAATAACGCTTTACTAGTTATTAAAGATTAAGTATTTATCTTATATATATAAAAATATATATATGAATATATTTAGAAATATTTTAAATGCTGATTTAAAATTAAATTATAAAAAATATATATTTTTTAATGTCTTAATCAGGATCATTGGGTGTGTGGGGCGGCACCCTAGCGCCCTCTATTGGACAGCCGCCACTGCGTCCATATATGATAGCTTTTTTACATTTTTATAGTAGGTTATTGCACAGGGTGTTGACATGGGTATTTATATAGATGGATATTTCTATATAAAGTTATTGCACTAGGTGTCAAATAAAGAGAACCAGTTATTGCACAGGGTATCAAATATAAACTGCTCATTATACATTGCAGAAGTTATGAGATTACAAACTATTCTGTTGTCTTTTAGCCATAAGCTATGAATCATTATCTTGATAAGAAAAATAACAACAGCAGCCTTTTCTTTCTGTCAGAATTCACCGGGTTTTTCATACAATGGTGTATCAGGATAGGCTCTACAATGCTTAGCATGTAGCAAGAAGGCCTTGGTTCCTGGTCTTCCTGCATGCACTTTGCATCTCCTCTCCAGGTGTGTTAGGATTCTCTCTGAATGCTCAGACCAGTTTCATGTCAGCTAGTGGAACGTCACCCTTAGAAACAAGGGTTTGTGTGTTTTTGGTTGTGTCTGCATGTTACCCTATGATGGACCTGTGACATGGTAGATTCTGGACGGTTTCCCACTAATGACAGATATTTACCACCTTCCCAATAACTATGCAAGAGTCATACACACTGCAGAGAGATTGGAGGAATGTATATCAGGATAATATGGACTCTGAAGGCTTTTTTCACTCATGAAATAACACCACATTAATTTCACTATATTTTAGTTCAATTTATAATTTCTTTTGCACCAATATACAATATGTCCTCCTCAAGGCACTTTATAGAGACAATTCAACCAGATCATAAAGTCAGATTGATTTTCTATCTTAGGAAAACCAGCTGATTGTAAAGAGTCATTGACTTTGCACGTCACACTCTTCCTGGATGTGGTGACACAAGATATTTTGCTTCTATTGTGATGTTTACTCTATGGGATTCCCTCACACCAAGCATGTATGTAGCTACAGTGGAGAGGAAAAACTCCCTTTGAACGGGAAGGAACCTCGAGCACAACCAGGACCAGGCTCAGTTTGATTGGTCTTCTAGGGAGGCATACTGGGGTTCAAGGAGACATAAGGAAACATGCAAGAGAAACGCAGAAGCACTGATCTATAAACAGTTTCTTTGTTAGAAACGGTAACAATCAACTAGCCCCACAGGGGCTTCTGTCTAGCAAATTAAGTCTAGTCTAGAGTTAAAGTATAGGAGAGAAACAGGACTACACTGGAAAACAGACCAATCTCCAACATCGAGAAACAAAGGTGTTGATGGCAGCAGCACAGCTGATATTTCTCTCCAGGATGGAGTCACATAATATGCACTTAAAACAGGAAAATGCAATCATTTTTTCTTATTTTAAATGTAAACTGTTTTGTTCCATTGGCAAGATGTCTCTTTTACCTTACTCAATCCAAGAACAAATGCACTTATTTCTAGAAAAAATTACTTATCTAGATTTCGAATTCTTCCAGTTCAAAAAGGAAAGTTTTAAGCCTAGCCTTAAAAGTAGACAGGGTGTCTGCCTCACGGACTAAAACTGGTAGTTGGTTCCACAGGAGAGGAGCCTGATAACTAAAAGATCTGAAGCCAATGAAGAAAAGCTAGGATAGGAGGGATATGATCTCCCTTTTTTTTTATATATACATTTTATGTTGTTTCTAATAATGTTGATTGTGTAAAGTCTAAAACTCTAAAGCAGAAACTTTCTACAGTAAAAAGAAATCAAGCATAATTTGCATTTCATGCAGGTATTGTGAGTCGATGAAGATTTCGTTTATCTGAAAATAGTAAAACTATTCCGCCTGAGTAGTTTTTGCAACATAAAAATACAAATCTCATAATTGACATATAAAAAAATGGACAAATATTGATGTCATGATAACAAAACATTCCTCTTTATTTATGTTCACAGTAAATAGCCATGAGGAATTCGGCTCCTGATGAAGGACATGTAAGCAGCACAGTCCAGGTACGGTAACCTTTCTTCTTCATGGGTTGTGTTTGTGAAGCTTCAATAGAATAGATGGCCTTTGCTTTTATTTTTTATTTTGTCTAAAAACACCGTTTGTTTTGCGTAGTTTTACCGGAACTAAAAAGAAACCCATCAGTCAAGCACTATTGAATGTTTCACAGCCTTAATGTTAAAATACTCTTCAAAAGTAAAAAACTGAACAACCATGTTTGAAATCCAGGCCCACCTTTGGTGTTATTCTGTAAATCAGCAGCACTTTTAAAGCTAAAGATGTGTTCACAGGATCTTTTAGCTCAGCACGTTCAATTTTATGGCTTTTTATGTCTTCCATAAAAAAACAAGAAAACTGAAAAATCATGAAGCTCGGTTTGGTAAGAGGCATAAAAAAATGAAACGGTAGCAACTGAAGAACATTTTTAAAATGGACCGAACGAATCAGTCTCTGTGATGTACGCAGGGGCGGATTTAGGAAATTTGGGGCCCTAAGCAAAGACAGGTAGGGGTCCCTTTGAAATGAGAAGACAACACATCAAACAGCCCCATTATAGAGATAGAGAAATGTTAATAGAATAGACATCCATTATCTGTTCTAGGTTGTGTCCCTCTCTTCTTGTCCCTTTTCTTCTTGTTTTCCTCTCTATGTTTTGTACTCAGCTGACTTTTCATGCTGTCTCTAAAGGAATGAAAGATTTTTTCCAAGCACTAAGCTCACTTAGCTGATTGCTCCTTCCTGTGTTTCCAAAAAGGCCAAAGTAAATAACCCAGTCCTTCTTTTCACTGTAGACAAGCCATGATCTGCTTATCTGTTCTCCATTTTTCATTTGGATGAAATAATAGCTGCATGAATCATGACAGCAGACAAGATAGAGGAGAGCAGGAGGCGGGGTTACCAATCTACTCGCTCTGGAGAGCAGAGTTCGCTGCTTTTAGACGTTGTCTCCAAAGTCTCCAGTAGCAGAAAAAAGTCTCTAGATTTGGCGCTAGGAGCTTTTTAGAAATCAAAGTGCTAGAGGGGTCTGAAAAGTGGCTAAATATAGCGACTAAAGCGCTAAGTTGGCAACACTGCTCTTTGCATGGTTTGTTTTCAAATGGTTTGCTGCTGTCTGTTTGGACCTTTCTGAACATGTGCAGCAAATGGACTGATCCAATATGGTGGACACTGAAGGGGGGGGCTGAGACACACTTAATATTATCAGCGTTCTGATGGCATTTTAGAAAAAGGATTTTTATCAAAAACATAATTAATGTGCACAAATAAGGAATATTTGTATTAATCATACATGTAAAAAGAGTTTTATGGTTTCCCCCAGGAACTTGTGGCCCTAGGCAACTGCCCAGTATTGCCTAATAGTAAATCCCCCCGCTGTATTTAATTGATATTCCTGGTGTGTGATCTTACCCTAAAGTGACATTTAACACTAAATATGAGAAACTTGAGATGTTTGGTTTGGAAGTGCTGATGTTGAGGATATCATCATCTGAGGATGTGGTTCTGATGGCAGCTAAGTGAAGCTGCTGTCTACCTTAGTGCAGGTTTGTGCAGCAATAGCTTCAGTTAGTCATGCTTGAAGCAGCAATGAATCGACATCTCAGACTGTTTATAAAAACTCTGCTGATGATAATGTTTTCTAATGCTAAGAAATATGATCTCTCGGAGTGGCGTTTAAGCTTTTATTACCACGTTTACAATTTAAAACCAAACAACCTCTCCAGACGCATGGCCCAACACAGAAGAGCCACCTCCTAGGGACAAGACTCTGCTGTACCTCTACACCTTATGGACAGAGCACATTCTTTGGAGGACCAGAATGTTCTCATTTTGGACAAAGAAGACAGGTGGTTTGAGAGGGGCGTGAAGGAAGCCATCTATGTTTAGAGTGGGGGGGGCTCAGGTTTCAGCTTCAAAAACCTAAAATGCAGCGATAGAGTTGATTCCTTCCTGCTATCATGGCAGCCCCAACCCCTTTAGAGGAGAACAGAAGACCTCGTCTATTCAACCAGGCCAACTTTTCCCTTTAACGACCCCCCTTTCAGAGACATAGACAGGTATGGGGCATTGCAGGCTAACAAAGAAGCCAAACGACCCCCATTCCAAAGGGGTGGACCCGTTCATCCGTTTCTATTTGCATGTTTTCTAAACTAAAACCAGGCTTTGTTGGGCTGCTGGATAAAACCTGGAACTAAACGCTATTTCTGACATTTTGGATTGAAAAAGCTTCCTGGATGGAAGAGAAACGTCTTCAGACTTGGAAACAAAATCTAGTGGATTGTTTTCTACATTTTTTTTGGAATGCCAGTATTTACAGTGAGTCCATTAAAAATAAATGATATTCTCTGAACCGGCTAAAAGCATCATAAATTCAATAATTAGCCGTCCAAATGTTTATTTATTCGTTTCTCCTCTTTAGTTTATGTTATGTTTTTTCTATTTCTGTTGGCCTCCCAGCACATCCATTTACAGCTGCAGGGAGGCTCCCTCCCAGACGACAGCAAAACACACATGATCTGAACATAGAAATAAACAGATTTTAATGTCTTACTAAATATCTTCTTTTATATCCAGGGAAGAAGCTTTTTATCACCGATGAAAGATTTCTGGTTTGTTTAGTTTTTTTTTAACCAGAAAATTGCAACAAACCGAGATGAACATCTCATTTATTTAAATCAGCTTCATCACATTGTCACATTTCTGAAATGTTGATATGTCCAAGCTGGGGGTAAAAACTCTAAGATATCCTAAACCTGAGTTTATTACAGAAGAGCCTCTCTGACATAGATCCCTTCCTTTATGAAAAAGTCTGCCTGTTTTTCCATCTCCAATAATTCAGTTTTTAAGTTCATGACAAGTGAGACTCTGAATGTTCTCTTTGTGCCTGTATGGGTTCCTTCTGGGTACTCCAGCTTCCTCCCACAGTCCAGAAACATGACTTTTTAACCCCTTTCCCGCTGGCCAAAAACCAGTTTAAAACCGGGAACAATGGGCTTTTAGTGGCAGTCGGAACAGCTCACTGACGAGTGTCTACCCAGGTCAAACGACTCAGCAAACAACCCACATTAAAATCTCCTTGCTCTGACTGGCATGCTGTGGGAATACCTGAGTCAGGTTGTCCTACTAAATTACGTGATACCCTTGAACGCAACGTACAGACGTCAACTCACCACGCCAAACAACTCTGTTTACATTCGATAAACCATTCAGCTGAGAGGGATTCAGGCAGATAATAGAGAAACAATAAAGCACACTGATTACGCCTTGGCTTCCTAACATGTTGCTCTGCATTGTTTACGTCCCTGATTTCTGTCGTACTGTGACATCACCAACCCAGCGTTGTTTGAAAAACATGCGTTAATCTGCTATTTTCAGATGGAAAAAGGCTTTATTGTTTCAATTCACTGCAAACAGAGAAAGTATTGGATTTAATTCATTCCCGTCCAGTTTATTCCTATAGCGCCGATTCACAGCATGTCATCATTCAATCAGATCATCCAGTCAGAATGAAGTTTCATATTTTCCTTTCTAAAGGAAAACCAGCTGATTGCATCCAGTCATTGCAGGACGCGCTCCTCCTGGATGCTGCAGCACCGGTCTGTTTGTGTCATAAAGTATGACCTGATTTTTCCTCTTCTCTGATTGGAGGGAGAGAACTTTGCAAAAAGAATAAAAACTTTATCATCTAATTTAAAAAATTTAGTTTATTTATATAGCTCCAATTCACACCATATGCCATCTTAAGGCACTTTCCAGTTCAACCAGATCATCCAGTCACATTGATTCAAAGTTTTCTATCTAAGGAAAACCAGCTGATTGCATCGACTCATTGACTCTTCAGCAATCCCTCACCCTAAGCATGCTTGTAGCGACAGTGGAGAGGAAAAACTCCCTTTGAACAGGAAGAAACCTCCAGCAGAACCAGGCTCAGTGTGAGCGGCCATCTGCCGAGGCCCACTGGGGTTCAAGGAGACAGAAGCAGACATAGAAAAAGAAGCATAGATACAAAAGGCAACTGTCAACCAGCTCCACAGGCGGCCCCGTCCAGGAAACACACAGCCAGGCAGACGAGCTCCGAGCCAGCTCCCATGTCAGAGGATGAAGAGAGCACATCCAGTTAGTCACAGTCAGAGAAACAGGACTACACTGGAAAACAGGCCAAGCTCCAACATCTAGAAACAAAGGTGTTGATGGCAGCAGCACAGCTGATATTTCTCTCCAGGATGGAGTCACAGCCAAACAGGAACAGACCAGATGAAGCTACTATGAGGAAAAGCAGAGAGAGCAGAACGTTAGAGATTGAACTAACAGATTCTGCAGAGTGGGAGAATAGAGATAGAATGAAGCAGAATGATGAAAAAGGGGTCCCTATGTCCTCCAGCAGTCTAAGCCTATAGCAGCAGAACCATAGAGATAGCTCAGGATAACCTATAGCAGCACATTTTCAGAAAAAAGCTCAGATAATCTTATTATTTTTTAAATTGCTGGCGCTCCACTGTGCAGCATGGCTAAATATTTAGGTAAAAGCTTGAAATTATTCAGTATTCTGATAAATAGAACCAAAAAAAATTATTTCTGCATCCTTGAGTAGGAGAATTGAGATATGATGAACAATGGGTCCCTATGTCCTCCCAATTAAAGTCTTTATAAGGCATATTAAAACATTTTATCAGCAAACAAATCCTTTATTTATCCTTTATTTTCATTGAAATACATCAATAAATTAGGGGTGTCCCAATGCAATTATTAGATTTATAATATGATCTGATACCATATCAGCACAAAACATACAAAATATCACAGATTTTGTTAGTAAAAGCCTCAATCTGGTGATATTAGTAAAACTGATATGAACCGATGGGTGACATTAACTTTAAATAGATGGTGGCAGTGTTTGTTGATTGAGAAAATGTGTCATCATTAAAACAGCTCTCTATGCTATGAACGTAGTGCCGCATCCAGAAGCTGTAATACTGAGGAGATATAGTGTTGAATATTTTCAGTGCTT